CGCGGGCTCCGTCAGCCGCCGCTCAGCGGGCCGCGAGCCCGAGCTCCGCCGGCCGTGGGAGCGAGGGCAGCCGCGGGCGCGAGCTCCGCCGGCCGTGGGAGCGAGCTCCGCCGCGCGCGGGCTCCGCCAGCCGTGGCTCCGAGGGCTGCGGGAGCGAGCTCCGCCACGGCTTGGGGCCAGAGCCGCCGTTGCCTCCGCGCCGTCGAGGAAGCATGGGCCGGGCGCCGCGGCCGCTGGCAGCTTGGGGCCATGGCTTGAACCTCCGTCGGCTACTTCGTCGCCTCGTCCCTCAATAGCAAGTCGTGCTTCCCCAGCGCTTGCGCATCCGTCGTTGCTTCGTTTATTTACCAATTTTATCATATTACGATATGTTAAACAATATCAAATGGCTACATAGTTTATATGGCATATTTGATCACAACATAGTGCAAAAATTAAATGCTAAAGCTAGCTTATGAAACCGTGAAATGAAACTGTGCATTAAAGAGAGCATGTTTCATACACAGTTTCACGTCTTGGAAACAGAGACATGAAATTACATTGAGACTGACCTTACTGTCGAGATTAGAGACGTACAATGCGCGCGCGCGTCCCAGCCGACCGGTCAACTCGAGAGCGACGCCACATGCACTTTGCGAGCAGGGACGACCATGTGGCAGATACACGCGCTAGCACCAGCAGCAGTGACGAGCCGACGAGGTTAGACCAGCCCGTACGTGCCGGCTTCCGATCCAATCCCTCGTGCAAATGCATGTCGCCGTGCACGAAAGAAAAGCATTATTCCAAGGCTGTTAATTACAGTAGTTAGGTATAGATCGATCCAGACAAGACGCAGGGCCGGCATGCGTGCAGCCGTGCACTCTCCGCGTCTCCGTTCCGTTGCTTGCTCCGCAATTGCATTCTGAACGACGCGATGAGTACACGCATCGATCCATGAGTAACACACATGCACGGATGTATCCATCTTATATTATATATAAAAGAACTCTCCGCGTTGCCGCGGGAATCAGCGATGGATTTTTCGCGTGTTGCTATGGAAAATCAGCGATAGATTCGTCTCATATTATTACTATTATTAATATGGAGCACAAAGTATTTAAAACTTAAGTATAATTTGGGAACGTAAGTAGCTAGTTGCTTATTGAACAACTCAAATTACAGTAAACACTCTTCATCATGCAGAAAGCTGGATGAGAAGGCTATTGCCAAAAAACAGTGTTCATAATTATCACAGTTTTCATTTCATTCAGCTAGTTGTTTCATGTAGACTGTTTTCATCGGGGATACCAAATCCAAATTAGCCATAGTATTCTAGCGAGCAATACAGAAACGTGTGCCCGCGAAAACTTTTATCTCTATTCAGTTGATTGGAATTGTAAAGGCCAGTCGACTTGATGTTGTGCAGCTAGCTTTTCAGTTTCTTCTGCATTAGTTGACTATGCTTCTTCTGTGTTAGTTGATGATGACGTAATCAGATAGCACTAGAAAACCAGGCATGGCATTGCCGCGCCCAACACGGAGCTGGTCAATCCGTCTTTGCAGGTTGGGTCTTGCAAATGTAGGTAGAAACTGAATTGGAATTATCAATCCGCTGCAAAAAGGGCCATTGAACTTGATAAAAGTTTGTGATGCTTTCTGCAAAAGTCACGTGGTTGAGAGAGCGAGGAAGAAAGAAATTTGTAATACTTTTCCAATTTTTGATTTTTCATCTTGAGTTTTCATCAGGCTGCATCACATCATGCAGACCGTTTGTAGGTAAGTTGAAGTCATAATCAAGCTATGCAGAACTAACAGGAGACCAAACTACCTTACTGGCTTCGGTTTAAACAGAGCACATAAATCTGGGATGGGTGTATCATATTTGTCAATGTGTATGTACATACAGTGTTGGAATTGTCGATTGCTCCTGCATATCAGAGTTCCAAGTATAAGTTTTTAATTTAATTGGGTTAACACAATTATGAAAACAAAACAAGGACAGATATTGGTAGCAGGAAATAAAATTTAGATTTGCTCGGTTGCTCTCTTCAGGTAAAAGTTACTTACTATATCTTCTCTGCAGGTTACTAAATCTTCTTTTCAAAACAACATTGATGCTGATAAAGAGACAGGATATAACATGAGAAATCGTGAAACTTTTCTTTGTTAAGATGTTGACATCAAATTTGTTCATGTTTTCAGTGGCACAGTCAATTTCACAATTTGTGAATGAGGTCCCTAAAATGGTTAGATATAGCATTGACCATATTTATATTTTAGGTAAAAGTTTATGCCTAAATGAAATTAACTCTTGTTTACAACTAAGTTTGGCACAATGGTTGTGGGTCGACTGGAAAACCAAACAGGAAGAAGTATCACTAGATGATGGTCATAAGATCCAAAAGTTGTCTGACTCATTGTATTCATCAGAGTGCTCCAAATGTAGCAGGATGAAGAGTATAAGAATATCATTCTGCACATTGTATCCCAGTTTCAATAACTCCAAAACAAGCAGTAGTTTTACTTTTGTGTTTTGTCCCTTGCTAAAAACACTTCATTCCAAAGTGACAGTTATCAAAGCTGCCATTCTTTGGTGACAATAAATTTCGGAGAACAGAAACTGCAGCTTGTCACAATAAATTCCAAAGCGTGGGGAAGGCCAGCGCCGGCACGGGAGGGGAGCGGCGTGGGGGCAGGCCTGTGCCGGCAGGGGAGGGGGCGGCGTGGGGAAGGCTGGCAGGCCTCTCACTACAAACTTCTAACCCTTGCGCAACGACAAGAAAACGTTGCAATAGGCCCAATTTTGTTGCAAAAGGTAGTTCATACCATGAAATCGCGTTCATTGGCAATGGTTGCAAAAAGTCACGTTGCAATAAGAACTTGCAACCGTTGCTAGTTTGGCGTTGCAAGAGTTAGATTTTCTTGCAACGTTGCCAAGCATTGCAATAGGACGTTATCGCAACATTCATTGGCGTGGCAATACGAGCACTTGCCACGTTCGTCTTCGTAGCGAGAGGTGGTAAATACAATGAGCGATAGCGTGGCAATAGATTTTTGTTGCCACGCTATAATTTTGTTGCTTAAGGTGTTGTTGCCACGACTGTTGTGCCGTGGCAAGTAAATCATTTGCCACGCAAATGTAATCGTTGCGAGAGAGTATACATTATTGCCACGCTTATCTTGGCGTGGCAATAGTATCATTTGCCACGCAAATTTATCCGTTGCGAGATACCGTTCATTATTGCCACGGCCGCGTTGCCGTTGCAACAGTATCATTTGCCACGCAATTTTATTCGTTGCGATATACCGTTCATTATTGCCATGACCTCGGTGCCATTGCAACAATAGAATTTGCCACGCAATTTTATTCGTTGCGGAAGATTAATTGTTATTGCAACAATAGTCATGTCGTGGCAATAGTATTATTTGCAACGTAAATAAGTCTGTTGCCATACAACATATTGCCACGCATCACGGCTCGTAGGTATAGCTTTTATTGCAACGCTAGTAACATTTAATTTTGGTTTAATAAATCATCATTGCAAATCAATAAACCATATCAAAAGCAATTGCACCCACATATATTAATTATAATTAATCATTCAATATGTTGTCAAACCAATGAAATAGTAGCTAAAATCATAAACGAGTGTACAATTAACTCATTATTTGACAACTTTTTACAAACTTCCTAACATCTATGCAGCACTTGAGAAATTCCTAGCAGCCCAACATGTCATCTCCTCGGCTATGTCCTCGCTTGATTATGAGCCTCCCACTGAAACCTTGTCCACCTACTGCCAAAAGAATATGATTAGGATATTAGAACAATATTAAGTTTACTAATTTTTGCACAAATGTAAAGAGATGAAGATATAAAATGGTTCTAATTTCTAATTTCATATACAAAAGCCATCAACCAAGCTTTTGCATAGTTGAAGTTCTACTGCAATTCTGCAAATGAGCAAATATTGTCGGTCTAGTTGCTGCAATTCCTTTTTCCATGAAAAAGATGGAAGTCATGTTCCATTGTACCAGAACCACAAACGTATGATTCAATTTCTAGTTTTACTCAGATTCTTACTGCATGCTTATTACAATTATGTTTTTCCATGAAAATAGCATTGTGTGTTTTCATAATAACTTGATATTTTGTTCTCTACTTTCTCAATCTTTATTTTGGTCTCTGTGTATATCCCTCTCTTTTCAAAGTTTAAATGTTGTTCAAGATGTCAGCAATCCTTACTCCTTGGAAGCGTAGATGGCTGGGAATTTTAGCAAAATTTCATTGTAAGTATAGGTCGATTATATAAGTTCAATTGACTTTACAAATGATAATCTATATTTTTTTGCAGGCTACATACTGAAGGCATGGTTCTATTGGGTAATACAAGTTTTTGTAGCAGTCTAGCAGACACATGGAGCTGTGTTCCATTTGATTGCATTATAAGATGTATGCATTCTCTTTTGCTCTTTATAAATTCTGTTAAAAGAAGCAGAGTCTATCAGCAAGCCTTGGGGAGGGATGGAGAAGAAAATACGGCTTTGATCCTATCCATCGTGGCCTTTTCAATGAATCAGATGCAGCTACTGCATATGTTACAGTAGCAGCTGCCTTCTCTGAATTTTTAAGGCAGCAGCAGTTTAGTTGATTAGAAAAATCATAACTTGAGTTGTAGACAACGAAAAATTATATTCTTTAACAATACGAAAAGCCCATGAAATTCTCTACATCTTTCTAGTTATTTGTTAAATAAGATTCTGCAGTTATCAAGGTCAAAAAACACAAACACCCACTGCTGTCCAGACCGAGGTCAAAACCTGACCGGCTACTTTCAAAATTCATAACTCTAATTCTCTAGGTCTAAAATCATGACCTTTCACGACGACAAACATCTCTAAACCCTCTACAACTTTTGTATTATCAAGTATCACATAAAAGGTAGATTACTACTCAGAACAACTCACCCAATCAAACCTGCACAAGCTGCAGTTTTCAGCACGCATGTTCAATGTATTTTCTACATTTCCTAGTTCAACAAGGAAGGTCACATTTGATAAAATTTCATTAAATCATGCAAGAATTTAGATTTCAATTAGCTGGTTGTTACCTTCCTCCTTTTGGGATTATTTCTTGTCCTATTCATCAGCTGCTGTGAAGTGATATATGTCTTCGATGCAGTCACATTTGCAGTGTTTTCGTTGAAAAGAGCTCTGCTGGGAGGTGCAGTACTTCTAGTGGAGCGAGTAGGTGCTGGTGCACCTTTTTGTATGGTGACAACGCTTCCAGGCTAAGTCTACAAACATCAAGTTGTTTGATCTATTTTAGCTACAGTTTAAGGTACATGGAACATAGTGAAATAATGTCATTACCTCCTGTAACCCATCTTCATTTTCATTTTCATGTCCACCGGTCTCATCTTCCTCTTCTATGATTGGTGCAACTTGTGTACTGGCATTGTTTTGCAGGGTACTCTATACATACAAATATTGGGGGTGAAAGATTAGACATCACAATCATAAGATTATCAAGAGTACAAAGGATAAAAAATTATTCTAATACTATAATCATAGCTCCTTCTTTGTGCTGTGCTAGCATATTAAGAAATTCTTGCTTCATTTCTTCTCTTAAGTTTATCTTAGCATTTTCCAGCTCCTCTTGCATCCTCCTCCTACTTTCTTCTTTCTCCCTTTCCCTTTCTGCAGCTTCTTGCGCAATCTGTTCTTTGAGCTTGTCAACCTCCGCTTCTAAAGCAATGCTCTTCTCCCTAGCTGCAGCTAAGGTTCCTTTGGACATTATGCCACAAGCTTCCTTTGGACTACATTTGGAATGCCTCCACATTGATTATTTATATGCTTCCATTTACTTGTTTGGTACACAAGTTACCGAAAATTCAAATAACCATTTTTGTGACACTTATCATCTAATTTGAAGGTGTAAAAGGTTGCATATAAACTCCTAACAACCTAAAGCAGGTACTAAAATAAACAAATTAAAGTTGGACAATCACTATCTGCTCGACCCTTCCTGACAGTTCTAGAATGTCATCAATGGATCACCAGCAAAAAATTAAATAGAAGTAAATAACACGATTAAGAGAGATGTTCATAGAACAACTAGCTAGCTTCCCTGCTCTGCTCGTCCACCGACAACCGGAGGCCGGAGCCGCATCCCTGCTATGTGTGTGCCATCACCTACCGCAGCATCTCTGCCCCCTCTGTGGGTTCACCTAGGGGCTGGGATGGATGCGCTGCCACCAGGAAGGACCTTGCGGGGGAGAGGGGGACTGTCGTCGCCGGGGAAGGACACGTTGCTCGAACCTTCGGCCGCCGCGCGGGGACGTGCGCCTGCTGGCATGCGGGATGCGCCAGGCCGCCGCTCGCTAGATGCCCCACGGGGTGCGCGCGACCGAGTCGCGCTGCCGCCGACGAGGACACGAGGTGCGCCACCAGCTCCACGTGGCCCGCGCATTGTCCGTGGTTTGCGACTGGCGGCCTGCCGCGCCGGCTGGCGCCTAAGCACTGACGGCCGCTGCCTGAAGAAGAAGCAGGAGCGGCCCTCCGCGCCGGCCGCTGGGGAGGTAAGAAGGGGCGGTGCGGGTGGGGAAGGATCAGGGCCTCAGGGGCGGTGCAGGGCGGTACGAGGTAGCCGGACTGCGTGCGGCTGCGCACAGAGAAGAGGGGCGGCGGCTAAGAGAGGGAGGAGCGGTGAGGGTAAGGAGATCGGTTGTTTATATATACTAGGGGTTTTTAATGGGCCAGTTGGGCTGATATATTTCTATGAGTCTATTTGCTATAACGTTTTTTGGGTTTTCCGTAACCAGGGGTTAAAACGTTGTTAACTGAGCAAACTTCGGTTAGTTAAAATTCAGAACCAAATTAGTGTTCGATTTTTTTGGTTTTCTATTTTCAGTTTTGGTTCTGGCTTTTAAATATTTACTAGCAAAATTACCTGTGCATTGCAACCAGAAGAAAAAAGCTGTCAATGTTAAGAAGAAGCAAGAACGAAAACATTACATATCTATTTATCTTTTATATTATATCATTCTATAAAATTTAAAATCTCTAATTTATTTTACGGTGACCATGGCATCTACAACATAAATTAATATCGACGGTACTAATATGACAATATCCTATCAAGGTTGTATCGAAATAAACGTATTTTTGATAGATTTTTTTCCTATATTGTAATGTTATGATATATCTACTCATAAATATATCATAACTTTAATTTTCATAATACCCATGTATTGATGTCGTTAAATATTGAGTTCCTTGACTTTCTCTGAGGATCTTAACCATATATAGTTTTAATATATGATTATAGTTGGTGAGGACTTAGTTGGTATCTGTCAAACATCCACCGCCGCACTGCTCCCTTCTCCCACCACGCGGCCGTCCCCTGCGCACGCAACGCCCTTTCCCATGCCACGCCGCACCCCATCGCCAGCCGCGCCGCGCCACCATCCCGTGCCTTGACCCTATCCTATAGCACGCCCCTGTCCACCTTGCCCATTGCAGCCATGGCAGACACCACGCTATCACCACTCCGGCGCCACCAGGAGGAGGTCACCGTTGGTCTGGACTTCATGTCCCACTGCAGGAAGGGGAGGCTTGCGCACGCTGGGCTGCTTGTCCTTGACGTTCTCTTTAGACCTAAGCTTGCTGGTTACCGCAGTCCCCAACCAAGTAGGCCATGGCTTCCGGCGCCGCTGTGTTTGAAGTGTTTCAGGCGTTTCCAACTTATGTTTCAAGTGTTTAATCTGAATATTGCAAAAGTCGATTTAGGAAGTTGCATATGTTGCAATGGTAATATACACATGTTTCAAGTGTTTTAGGTGTTTTAGACGTTTTGTTTCAAATGTTTCATCTGGATGTTTCAAAAGTTGATCTGGTGTTGCACATGTTGCAATGGTTTTACTTGCATTGTTTTAAGTGTTTCATCTGTGTTCAGACGTATGTTGTAAATGTTTTATCTGAATGATTCAAAAGTAGTGTTGCAGACCACTGCCCGTCTGCTGCTGCTTGTGTGTCGTCGTGGTTCACGTGCTGATGCTTGAGGCCTGCAGACGCCTCCACAAGCAGCACGGGTGGGCAGGGGGCGCGGTTATGCGGGATGGACGCGGGGGCACGGTTCTACCGTGCTGGGCACGGGCCGCGGTTTCGGACTCTGGCGTTGGTTGGGAACGGGACGGAACGCGTGGGATGCAATGCGGGCACGGGACACGGGAGCTGTGTCCGGACGCGGGCCTAGGACCGGACGTCCTGGCGCTAGCCCTACCCATAAATTAATTTTATTCATAATCAAAGCTACATCAACAATTTAGTAATATGAGTATTTATTTATAGGAAATAATCTAGAGTTCAAAGAGCAATAATATTATATTTATTGTTTTATTTTATTTATACAAAAAAATTAGAGTTTTTTCTGGCTAGTTTCATACTTTATAATAATGAATGGTTGTGTGCAAAACTCTTACATATGCCGGAATAAAAATTCATTTTTTAAAAAAGAGTTAATATTGTAAATTCTTAGATAAAGTATGTAAAAAATTAGATTATTTTTTCAGAAAAATGCTGTGTAGATTTGTGATGCGCGAGGTGGGGTATCACGAGCGCGGCGCCATTTGGCGGCAAAAATCTATGTGTGGGAAAAAAAAGCGCGCGTGCAGGCTGAGAGTACGAGCGCGAAACAGAGCCAAATCACAGCAAGTATATAATGACTGGGGGCGCCTAGGTCACAGAAAAGAATTCGATCGCGCCATCGGTCCTCCTCGTGTCGCCGGCTCGTTGCCATCGTTTCTCGTCGCGCCGCCGCTGGCAGCAAATCGCGAGGAGAATCAGCCCTGCTCTCGTCACCCGTGCCATCTCTACCTCCTCATCTCCTTGTCTCCATGCACGCGCCCATCCTCCCAGCCTTCTGGTGCTTCTGAGGTGAGTTATCCTTTTCCCCTTCTCTTCTCTGTCACTTGCCAATTGCCAAATCTTTTTTTTTTTGAGGGAGCCAATTGCTAAATCTTAATACGCCATGTTTATATTCTGTAAAAAAAACCTAGTTGAGGTGACGGTTCGCCTGCCGCCGCACGCGGACTCCAGGAGACGGCGAGACGCGATGCCTTGATCTGTAGCCACAACCCACAGGTCCGCAGAGGCCCAGGCGTCTAAGCGATGCGTAATAAGCGGAGAAAAAGCAGGAGCTAGTCGTCACTGGCATGTCGGCGGGCAGGCTCACGCGCGGGAAAACAGCGCGGCGCGGCCACGGGCAGGAAATCGTGAAAGCAGAGCGCGGGCGGCCACGGGCGGGAACCGCGAAAACAGAGCACGGGCGGCCACGGACGGGAACGCCAAAACAGAGTAGATAAGGTCAATCTCGTCCGTGCCCACACTCTTTCTGCAACCCTGTCCAATCCCGATCATTCTGCTGCTGATTGCCGCCCTCATAAACTTGGAGCTCGGATCTTCTGCCGGTGATCTGAATATATCTGATCGAAGCCGCCGCCACCATGCATCAGAGCCGCCGCCGACTGCGATTCCTTTGTTTCTCGCGGCTTTTCGCGGATCTGTCCGTGGGCGCGCGCCTCCATCCGGATGATCCCCAACTCTCGTGTTCGCTGTGACGCCTTTCAGGTTTCAGCCTTTGCTATCTTCTCCTTTCTTGCTTGATCTGCTACTGCTGGTTGCTCTCGGTGGAGTTGGGGTCGTCTCTGTTCCAGAACATAGGCGCTACCAAATTTACGGCAGTTTACGTCTAACTACTGGAGACTGGACTAACAGAGCATAGGCCCCTAGCGTTGTTTCCGGCACAGCCCTGTCCCACCAGGTGCTTATATCTGGTAATTTATCCTTCACTATATTCTCTGCAAGGCAGCAAGTTGATTGATGAATTATTGTCACAGATAATGACAAGAATGTGTTCTTTCACTTGTATAAATACTGCAATTTGTTTGTCTATAAATGTCACTGGATATACACTCCATCATTTGTGTGCTGGCACCTCTCCCAACAACAACAACAAAAAAGAAATAAAAAAAAATGTTTAATCGCGTTTAATCTACGTGTAGTCAACCTAGGCGCTAGATAGTGGCCGAGCGCCTAGGGTTTTTTGAACCTTGCTGCTTGGTAAGAGTCAAAATTGGTTGTGCTTCTTCCTGAGTTCTCGTTTACAGCTTAACGCAGGACAACGCGAGAGTTTCGAGTCAGCCAATCAGGCTATGATGGCATGACAGATGACCCCATGTTTTTTAGATCGTCCTGCAGTCCTTGCATACTTAAAGATTGATTAACTGTATTTAAACTAAATTTCAACTTTTTTATATCGCAACTCGTGGAAAGTCAGCCAAGTGCTAGCATGGTAAGTCTTTGCTATATATTTGACACTATTTATATCGTAATTACTGGAAATTTTCAACTTAATCTTTGAATTATGATTTATCATATTATTTTTTGCATACCCTTTAATAAAATTATAGGCCAGCCACTTTCGAGTGGCTGAGTACGTTGAGAATGACCTGCCGCAGCTAGACTCCAACATATACCAGAAGAGAACGATAACTAAAACTACTCTCTGTTTATTTTATTTTGGACTGTTGAATCTGAAATAGACAATGATAACTAAAACTACTCTCTGTTGCAAGCTTTCTCCTGAGTTAATTTTAGCCAAAGTTAGGTAGCATGATTGGTTGGATTGCCTGCTTTCAGTAGGATTTTATTACTACCTTGTTGCTGCCGTTGCAATTTCTAGGACATGTCCAATACTTACATTTCTTGGAGATTGATTTCTGAAATGTTGCTGCT